GCAGCCTCGGCCTGCTGGGCTCAGGCGATCCTTCCACCTCAGCCTTCCAAGTAGCCGGAATTACAGGCGCGCGCTGCCACGCCCGGTTAATTTTTTCATTTATTGTAGAGATGAGGTCTGCCAAGTTGCCCAGGCAGGTCTCGAACGCCCAGGCTCAGATAATCCACTCACCTTGGCCTCCCAAGCGCAAGATTACAGGCTGAGCCACCGAGCCTGGCCTACAATTTTTAAAAATCATTTTAAGACTTTATTTTTATTTTTTTGAGTAGGAGTCTTACTCTGTCGCCTAAGCTGGAGTGCAGTGGCATGCTCATGGCCACCACGGCCTCAACCTACTGGGCTCAGGCAACCCTTTCTCCTCAGTCTTCCAAGTAGCTGGAACCACAGGCACATGCCAGCACACCTGGCTAATGTTTTCATTTATTGTAAGGACAAGGTCTCTGCAAGTTGCCCAGGCTGATCTCAAAACCGTGGGCTCAGACAATCCTCTCACCTCCACCTCACAAAGTGCTGGGATTATAGGTGTGAGCCACAATGCCCGACTATTTTTATTTAAATAGAGATGAAGCTGAGTGCAGTGACTCATGCCTGTAACCCTATCATTTTGGGAGGCAGAGGCGCAGGGATTGCCTGAGCCCAGGGGTTCAAGACCAGCCTGGGCAACTTGGCAAGACCCTATCTCTACAATAAATCAAAAAATTAACCCGGCATGGTGGCAAACGCCTGTAGATCCCAGCTACTTGGAAAGCTGAGGCAGAAGGATCACCTGAGCCCAGTGGTCTGAGGCTGCGGTGGCTATGAGTGTGCCACTGCACTCCAGCCTGGGCAACAGAGTGAGACTCTAACTCGATAGATAGATAGATAGGTAGATAGATAGATAGATAGATAGATAGATAGATAGATAGATAGATAAGGAGATAAGGAGATAGATAGAGACAAGTTCTCTGCATTTTGCCCAGGCTGCTCTTGAACTCCTGGCCTCAAGCAACCCTACTGCCTTGTTCTCCCAAAGTGCTGGGGTTACAGATATAATCTACCATGTCCGACTTTCTTTAAATTTTTAATACCTCTGTCTCCCACCTTTTCCTCCTTGCCACTTATTGTGAAAGAAACAGAGTCATTTACCCTCTACAATTTCCCCTTCCTGGATGTGACTGATTGGATCTATGTAGTATCACCTAACACGTGCCTCTCACTTCCTTGTGTTTCCTATAAGATGTTGAGATTCAGGTTCATCTAGGTGTGGTGGTGTGTGCCTGTTGTCCCAGCACTCTGGAGGCTGAGGCAAGAGAATCGCTTGAGCCCAGGAGTTCTGGGCTGTAGTATGCTGGGCCAAT